ACAGTCAGTATACCTGCTCGTCTCTTCTATCATTTTAAAACTTATATGTCTAGTTTTCCTGTGATTTAAAAAATAGTTTCCAACTCTTAAACCATTTGTAAACTGAGTGGATCTCCTTCATGAACTTAGCTATGTAGGCATTGTTGGTCAATACCATTCTTTGATAAAACCAAAAAATGAGATAAATTAAATTAATTAGTAATTAAATTGTTTGTTCCTAATTTGAGATAAAAAAAATTCTAGATATATGCACATAAAGTTTTTCGAGCTTACCATAGTTTGTGTCAGGGAATACCTCTTTATAGTATGCCTATGCCCCTTTTTTTGAAGTCTAATCAATTGTGTTTATTTTGCTCCGTCCTACTTCAAATTTGACCCTAGCCAAAGCCATGATTACCTTTCTATATTTATTCTGCCGTTCGAAGTAATACCTTTATAATGTTTTAAGAGACATGAAAACTTTTTATTTTAATATTAATATTTCTAACTTAAAGGTAAAGGTGGCAAAGCCCTGGAGTCCACGATGATACCCGGAATTACGCAGCTTAAAGAAAACGAAATGACCACCGCGGACGAAATCATTGCATCCGCTAGAGAAGTTAAGACATCAACAAAAGACCTTGTTCAACCTCTCGCACAGCCCACTGTCAACAATAAAACTACTCCTAAAGTCATTACGAAGACAGCTAGTGTCAACGTAACGCCCAGTGCGACCGCGCAAGCTGCGACCAGCAAGGGCAACACGCCCGCCGTGCCTTCCAACATAGAAACTGGATCCTTAGTCGTTTTAACTGTAAACGACCCCTCCTCCCCTTCAAAGAAGAAACTACAAACGTACATCGCTCATGGAGGCGGCAGACTGACCCCCGTCTCCCTGCCAACTACCTTACTCAACTCAGTCGTGGGATACATGAAGAAGGGAACACCTAAAAACACCACAGGTTCCCCGCATTTCACATCGCCGACCAGTACCACCAGCACCACCAGCCAGGACGGTCGCGGCAGCACTACCCCAGGAGTCATCCAGGTAAACCCCTCGCCCACCAAAAGGCAACGACTTAGCTCTTATACTATTACACAAATCTAGCATTCAGCCACTGCTGTATTGGCTATGCTGTATATTTTAAGATAGCACCGATACCGTCAATATATTAGGATATATTGACAATCGTAATCGATCTCGATACGACAGATATTCGCTGCAAGAAAGCGGGAAATAGCAGGTCGGAGAAGACCGCGTTTTTGAGACACAATGTAACGTGTTACAAGTGTCAAAGTTCACCACAACAATAACAACTCACCATTGATATAATTAGAGAATAAAACCATGATATACCATTCATGTAATTGCAACAACATTGCTATGATATATGTACTACTGACAGATACAGTACTAATGTGATAAGAAGAAGATCAGCCGATGATCTAGGCTAGATCTAGGGGGCTAGTAAATGCTATTCAACATTGGATCCAAATTTCATTGAAAAAATGACAATTTTTATATTAACTATGACGATATCGTTCTATAAAGGGGGCAGCTGTTGCCATATACTCATGAGTTACAATCTGATATTGTGTATCTCACCATAGTGTATACTTACTATATCTGTAGTTCATACTTTGCCATACGCCTTGCCATTGTTACTCCTCACCACTGCCACAAACACAATACTATCATGTCATACTTACCATATGGTAAGACAACTTTGAAGGAGATATACATCGTCAGCATGTGTCATTATTTATTTGTATATTCTGCATTTTATTTTCTAAATCTCAGTACAATTAAATAATTAAAAATATTGATGCAATTGAAGTTTACAATAAATGTTTACAATTTTTTTATTGATTATTTTGTTGTTTTTTGTCAATAATTAATTCTCGTCTTGTCGTCTTAATATTCGATGTTTTTATATTTTATGTTAGTCTTAAAGATTTTGTATTGGATTTAATCTTTTTTTTTTAAGTTAATAGTGCTGTGAATTATGTTTTATTTTATTTATAATTCGGTGATATAGTTTAGATTATGCGGAATATTTACTATAAGATAGTTTATTTTAAGTAGTGTTAAAAGATATTTCGATTTTTAGAATAGCTAGCATTAGATTTTAAAATAATAGACGTAAATCCAACCAATTATATTATTGTATTTTAAGTCAGAAATAGTAAAGTTTATGATTATTGAACTAAAAGAAATCCCAAATGATCTGATAACATGAACGTTTTTTTAATATACTCTTAATGATCATGTGTAAATGAAATATTTAAAATGTAAAATCATTTGCTGAAGTTTTTAGATTTAGACCATAATCATGCATTAATAGTAGTCTTAGGACCTGTCCCACCTATTGTTAATTGTTTGATAACAATCCAACATGTAGAATATGTGATTTTGTTCCCTTATCCCACAGTGATGTCATTTTTAAGCTATCTGAGCCTCTATCAGCCAGTAGTGGGACAGGCCCTTAATTTTATGTATTGTGATAGTATTAGTTAAATTCTAGAAAAATAGAAGCCTAAATGAAATGTTAAAAGAGGCTATAATGTAGTTACATTTTGTCTGCTAATAGATTTTCTTATATTCTGGATTTAATGCATAAGTTGTAGAAGAAAACGATTTTCATAAATAAGGCTATAGTAAAAAACTCTAGACAATAAGCTAAATTTAGTGTTAATACGTGTTTGTGAATGTAAACGATTTTATTTAAATCTTATTAGATGTCTTTGTGGTGAATATTCATAAAAGAGATTATTTCATTTTTTTTAAATAACAAAAGGATAGCAATAAGTTGCAATACAATTGTATCGATAGTGGTAACTAGGGATGGGTCGTTATTTTTTTTTCAACTAGTTGGTTAAATAATTGATCCTGTCTACAAAATGTGACAAAAGGCAATTAAATATGTAAACAATAAACGTAATATAAATTTTAGAATTTGAACGTTGTTTAACAATTAAAAAAACCTCGACGCTTATAATTACCCACCTGTTTGCTTGTGTTTAAAAAATTTAAGAAAGTTCTTTTATACGCAATTGTAATATTGAGATTTAAATAAAAAATATATAAGCTGAGTAATTTGTCGTGTTTTTGTCGTTATACCTTTTTTCATTAAATCAATGCATTTTTTTATGTTAGCAATATTGAAATTTAAAGTGAATATACAATATTCACTTTATAACTATGTGTAACACGCTGTTACTTGCAACTTCATCCGCGTAAAATAAAAATTAACTTATTTATTTGCATTTGCAAAGCCTGTGTTACTTACTCTCTCTACTCACTGACAACATAGCTTTTTAATGGTGACAGAATTTTTAAAATTGGCCCAGTTGTTTTTGAGCTATTTCAATATATATAAAAATCCAAATCTTTACTCTTTATAATATTAGTATAGATTAATACTTTTGACAGGTCGAAATAAAACTGAAATAAAAAGATATAACTATGTTTATTTTAATTCTTATATGAACTAATGTGCTTCAATCACTTCATTTGGGAACCACTGCGATGATTCCAATGCATCCCATAGAGATAATTCTGGATCTACAAATTCTTGGTTCATCTGATCTATATCTACGGCCTTTTTGTGCTCTGTAAAAAAAAATATAACACTGATTATATACTAAACTAAATATTTTTATTTGTCCTATAGTTTAGTTTAGTTTAGTCAGAATGGCAAAAACATATATTAATCCTCAAGTGACTTACCAACTAACGCCAATTCATCGTTTTGCGCCTTGACAACGGCTTGCACCGGCTCAGCGACAGGCGTGGCAACCGCTGCGGTGCTCTGCTCACTTTGCCCATAGTAACCCGACCATGCAGAGTAATTCTGCCAATAGGCTGACGGATCGTAATATTGACTATATTCCTGCTATAAAAATAATAAAACCATTGAATCCAATAATCATTACAATAGCACAGATAGAATAATTATAGATATAATAATTATAAATTTTTATTTATTAGTTTTGCTATATGATGTTTTAACAAATTTGGGTCCTTACACTCTCATGATGCAGATTTTAGACTACTACTCCATTCTCCTACACTGTTATCACGTTTTTCACTAGTATGAAGTAGTAGCAACATTTTTAAAACATTAATTTGTGTCTTCAATAAGAAGCTAAACACATGTGATACATCATTTTAGCCCTTCCCCACCCCTTTCGCACTTCACGTGATTTATTTCTGACCTTAGGTATATTAGATAGATTAATGTTATAAACCTTAAATGAACTTTAAAAGTTTACAAAGTAAAATAAAAACTCACTGATCCACCATTATAACTATTATTTGATGCCACAGTTGTTGTTGAATTCTGCGTATTTGTTACTCCTTTGGGTTTGGGCACAGCTGTGCATATCTTGAGAGGTTTAGAGCCGAGTCCTGTGTAACCATTCATTGCGTACAATGCATTCCGTTGTTCCTCCTCATTACCAAATCTAACGAAACCATAGCCTTTTGTATATCCTGTTCCATCCAAAATTACTGAAATATGTGGTTAGAGATAAATATAAAGTTATCATAAAACAAGCAAATCAATCTAAAGTGTAACTCACTTTTTTTGCTATGTAGGATGTTAGCAATCACAACATATTGTTGACCAACTCTTTATTATATTTTCAAGCCATTAAACTTAGAAGGTAAAGAAATTGGAAAAACTCTCGGTGGAAAGAGACAAAAACTGCAAGTCAATAGCAGCAAACCAAGATTGTCAAGCTAATGGTTATTGTAAGCAAATGGCTAAGATAGTTTTATAAAATTTAAACAAACAAAATTTTACGATATTATGTGTATGAAGGTGGACAAGAACAGCTTGTATGCAATAAAGAGTTTTCGAAATATAGTTAAACCATTTAGAAAACAATATATCAAGACTTTCGGTTTTTATATATTTTACAGTTATTGTAATAATCATTACCTTTAGCGGTTTTAATTGATGAGTACTTAGATGCAAACACTCTGTACAAAGAATAATCATCAACATCGGGACTTAGATCGCCAACCCAAACAGAGAACTCTCTTTCTTGCTGCAGATTTGATCGTGCTTCTCTAGATGCGGTATTTAACCGAAATCTTACAACTGGAAATGTACCTGGGATTGGTTTACCATTAAGCTTGTGCATTGCATCAATTGCTTCTTCATCTGTCTGCAAATATACATTTGTATGCTTTAAAAATTAATCCATGAATGTAATTGACATTGATAATGCAATGCAATATATTTAAAATGAATCACTTGAGTATTAAAGAATTGTGACAAGAATGGATAAAGTTAAGAATGTGTACATTAGAGGAAGTTTGAAAGTAGCAACAGTGGTGGAGAAATTGAGAAGCAAAAGGTTAGCGTGGTATGGTCATATTATGTGACGAAATTATAGGGACATAAACCAGAAAGTGTTAAGATTGAATGTGGATGGCTACAAAGGAAGAGGAAGACCGAAGAAAGTATGGATGGATTGTGTGAAAGAGGATATGCTTAAGAAAGAAGAGGATTCAGATATGACGGCTGATAGAGATGTATGGAAGAGCACACATACTGTGCCAACCCTCTGTAAGGGATAAGGGCAAGTGGATGATGAATCACTTGAGTATTAATTACCTGAAAGTGCACAAACGCATAACCAGCAGGTTCACCACTAAACTTATTTCTCATTACTTTGACTGCTAATGGTCTTTGTCCCATCCTATGAAAGGCTGCCATTATAAAACTTTCCGTCATATTCGGCTCTAACTGTAATGAAAAATATAATATTAATAAAACAAATATTCTGAGACAGTTTCATAGTAAAATTAACTTTTGGTATATGGTATGTAACACTAATACTGAAAGATGTTACTTACACTGCCCATCCATAGTTGACACTGCATTGCCATTATCTCTTGTAGAAAATTTTGGCAAAGGTACCTTTAATAATAAGCCGCTTCGTAAAAGTTAAAAGTAAAGGTAGTACGAATCCCAAATTGTAGCCTTTTTATTCCTTGTTCTTGATCACTATTTAATGCGATTCACAGTTTACGAGATTCAAATATCAGGGCACAAAAAATACCTTCTTTTGATTAATGAAATTTAAATTGCGACAATAAAAAGAGCAAAATAATATAAGAGGTATCAAGAAGTTGAGTTTTAAGCAGTTTTAAGGGCAAAAATACAAATGACAGTGACACATGACACAAATGTTAGACCTTCGGCGTGTCTATGGTCTAATTTAGTGTTTGTTGGTCGATCGTAGTGATTTTTAACGGTAAGAACGATAAGTTTCCCAATCTCGACTTCGTGGAATCAGCATACTGGAATCGACTAAAAATATCGATAAGAGAACACCGCATCCGTAGAAATAGAAGAACCGTTGTAATGTATAATGTTTTGAGTGTATTTTTCTCTCATGTGAACATTAAAATAAAGAAATTATAATGATAAGTGAGCTTTCGTGATTTGCAATTCGGAAACCGATTATCAGAATCAGTGATGCGAATCACACACACACAATCATATTTATTGTGAATAGGAAATATGGATCAATACAACCTTGCAACTTGCATTATCCGTTACGAGGATAGGTTACGACCGTATAGAGTAATGCTATGTTCACATTTGGCCAGTACAGTTGGAATGTCGCGCAGGTTGGACATGGATTGCTCGGACTCATTGGTGCTAGTTAGTATTCAAACTACGCCAGTCAAAAGGACAGTCAAGTGACAGTGACAGAGTGACAGTCAAGGCTAAGTGTAAACCAGGCATAAAATGTGATGACATTGACATGCAGTTTGCAGTGCCAGAAGATAAGTGTTTTATAGGTATTTCATACTTGAAAGTGTTATTTTCTCTTTGCATTTCTTTGTTTCTATTAACTTTATAGTTCAGTGTTTCTTGCTTAAGTTTAGAAAAGGTAGGAAAGTTTTCAAATGAGAAATTATCCTAAATATTAAAACATGTCGAGATTAGACAATATCGATGCCTTAGATAGGCAATTAGCTGACTTACAAATGAGTAACACACCAGGGAAAGTTAAGAAGATACCACCAGCTGTGCCGCCAAAAAAGAAGGCGCAACCGCAAGTTCCACATAGTGCCGTAGTGAATACACTGCGTGAACCTTCTTATTCTACAAAAATCTCACCTGTTTTAAATAATAATGCCCCGACATACAGTAACATATTTTCCTCTAACGTGAGACCGCCGAATAAAGATTACGCAAACGTGAATCATCAATCTTCATACAAGGCAAATGCACAAGTGAAAAGCAACATTCCAACATACAGTAATGTCCCTGGTTATACAAGTAGTCTGAACAAACCACTGCCTCCCCCTCCGCCGCCGCTACCACCACCACATTTATCAAAACCTATCTTGTATACAACACCAGCCTTTGAGAATAACACTGAAGAGTATTTACCTCCACCATCTCCGGTGAGTTCTAACTACAGTGAATTAATGAGGGCAACAGCTAACCTTAACTATAACCAGGAGAGGCCTTCATACCCTCCTATATACCAAAATGAATATCCAGAATATGGAGTGTCTCAGGCTTCAACTTATGAATCACTATATGAGCCTATAAATCTTCATACTCAAGGAAGAGTCAGTAACACACCAATATCAAAAACTAAGTCTCCTTTACCGAAAGAGGAAGAAGTTGATGCACTAACTAATCTTCTTGTGCAATCCATTTCTGATAGTCAAGATTTAGATATTTTTGGTATTTGCATTAAGTGTGATGAGAAAGTGGTCGGTGAAAGCTCTGGATGCACAGCAATGGGTAATATGTATCATGTAAAATGCTTTTGTTGTCATCAATGCAACACTAATTTACAAGGAAAGCCTTTTTATGCAGTGGAAGGCAAGCCATACTGTGAAGCAGATTACTATGAGACATTGGAAAAATGCTCCGTTTGCAACAAGCCTATTCTTGATAGAATTCTAAGAGCTACGGGTAAACCATACCATCCAACATGTTTTACATGTGTGGTGTGTGGTAAAAGTCTTGATGGAATACCATTTACAGTTGATGCCACCAATCAGATACATTGCATTGAAGATTTCCAATTGAAATTTGCTCCTCGTTGCTGCGTTTGTGAATTGCCAATCATGCCAGAAGAAGGAGAGGAGGAGACTGTACGAGTTGTTGCATTGGACCGCAGTTTCCATGTTCGTTGCTACAGATGTGAGGACTGTGGTCTGATGTTGTCTTCTGAGGCAAAGGGCCATGGCTGCTATCCTCTTGATGGGCACATTCTATGCAAAACATGCAATGCTCATCGCATCCGTCATCTGACAAAAGTAATGACTACAGACCTTTAATTGCATATTAATTCATTTTTAAAAACATATAACATTTACATATATGCGTATGACTTTTATGATTATTTTATTACATATGATATTCTTTATCATATTATTATATGCAAGCATATTATTCACTTAGTTTTGTAAGAAATATTTATTTACAAGTAACAATATAATAAACTGTATTGCTAATAAATAGCTATATGAAGACATTATTTTTTGAGATATTTACAATGTATACAACTTGAGTATAGAATCAAGCCATATTAAAATACTACTGTGAAAATAATTGTTCCTATGAGGTAATTTGAAATTTTAGCTTTTTGTGTCCTTAAGACTGAAATTATATGAAAAGCATAAATCAACTGTTCTTATCCCAAGATGGCAACTAAAATATGTGATTGATTTACAAAAGTGTTTAAGTGCATTATGAATGCGGTAATTTAAGAGCCTTATATTTGTATATGTAGAAACAAAACATGGCTGTTGTGTTAATTTATTTTTTAATAAATATTTATAATAAAATGCACTTTATTTTTCCTCTTAATGGACTTTACGAGTCAATAAATGAAGGCTTCTGTTCTATGTGGAACTAGCAGTGTGCATTGTTTTTGATAGAAAATGGCAAAGGCTTTCATACTATAAAAAATATATATATAATGTACCAATATGGTAGATATGGTAGACATATCATATAAAATAGACAAAGTTACGATTATACACGTCTTTATTATTTAGGTCGTATATACAAAATAGCAAAGCTAAAAATTACAATACTGGCAGGAGTATATTGTATAGAAAGGCACTTACATCACAGTTATATCATTTTAAAATTAAACGGAATGGGAATTTAAGGGAAGGTAGAGATTTTAAAACTTTTTATACTGCTTCATTATCCTTTCAAATATTTCACGACTAGTTATATCACCCGGTAAACTTCGGTAAAACATAAAAATGTATCTTATATAATAGGCATATTGAACATTATTACGTAATTTTAAATAGTGTATGATTATGATCATATGTGATTTTAGAAAAAACTTCCGGTAGCAGTATAAAAATGACTACACTCTTCTTGAGATCCATGTTTATATGACTTTTACGTAACCGACATATTAAGTACTAGCTAAATTATAGTAAATACAGTCTAGGAACATAAAATAATACATCCAGTTTTCGAGATTCCATTTCTAGCTCACAGATCCATTCCCAATGTTTAAGTACATTCTCAATATTAACAACAGTCTTAATCAATTCATATATTTGTCATGTCAGATTGCAATCAGCACTGTATCAAGAAAACAATTTTTCTTAACAAATGTACAGTAATTATTCAGTCACAGTTTGGCAAAATTTTGGCAATTAAAATTACAACTAAATACACATTAAAGTCAACAACCATTGAAGTCTGTAAGTCATAAATTTTAATAAAAATTTAATTAACTTTTATACTTTATGTTTTAGTTTCGTATTGAACTTTGGTGGACTTAACACCTGTTTCATAAACAGAGATCTTTTCTCCTTTATTTGTTTCGAGGGTGAATCAGAAATATTTGTACCAGATACAGATTTTGATTCAGCTAAAGGGTAATTGGGTCTTTTAAGGGTTGAAGTTATATCTTCACTTCTCAAATTTTCACTTCTAACATCCAGTTGATTTCTGAGTATACAATTATCAGACTGATGTAATGCATTATCTGAATTATAAAGAATTTCTTCATCCGAATGAAGATTTAACCTAGGTTCAAATCTTTCTCTTAAAAGAGAAAATTTTCTCCGCGGTCTATTACGTGTAGTTTTTTTGCTGCTTGAAATTTTACTAGTCGACGTATTAACAAACGATGAAGACGCATCTTTATGTATTAAAGATTGTAGTGAAGGAGTTTTACGACTTAAGGTCAAATCTTCACTTGAACTGAGAGGTAGAGAATTTTCCGCAACCATCTGCCATAAAAAGTCTACATTTTTACTTGCCAAATCTTGATCCTCAGATCTGTTATTATTATTTTTCGTATGAGATTTGGTTTTGGAAATATTAGACTTTTGCCGCCGTGCGGTACTTTTATTATATGACACTTGTGAATTTAAGGACGATGATGATGATGAAACATTAACGTCTTTTTTACTTGTATCAAATTTGGATCCATGAAAGACATCTAAAATATTTTCTTTCTCAGGTAATGACTCCATAATGTTGCTAGAGTTAAATTTGGAAGGTTCTTTCCAAAGGGCTCTTTGCAAATTGCTTTCAATTTTTGAAGGAGAATTAAATTGTGGTGAATCTAAAAATTGTTCACGTCTATGATATAAAGTTCTAGGCGAATTAGTAACTGTTGCTTTACGTATTTCATCTATTGTTGCCACGAGTGAACTTTCGGAATTGAGTCGTTTTTTGCAAGCGGGATCAATGTCACCCAAATCATCGAGCTCTTCAAGAATGGGTTCCAAATGATTCGGATCTTTAACATTGTCTATCATACAAGGCTTAGCAAGGAAAGTTTCATCATTTGAATGACAAACTACTGTATTCGCATAATCTTCTTGCGAACTTCTATCAAATTTTACGAATACATTTGAATACGTGTGAGCCTTTTTAGGAAACGGTGGAGCTGATAGTATGGCGTGTTTTAAATCTTGTGAAATACAACTACTGATTTCAGAGCTTCCAGAAGTTAGCGTATCTCTGCTCCTATCTCTAACTACGCTTCCATCGTGAAGCCAATTTTCAATATCACAGTATCCGTTCCAAGATCGCAAGCCCCAAGCTTCTCTTGCTATATTCACCGCACAAATATTTTCATAATCGTGTACAGACAAAATTTCAGTTGGAGTATCCAGATCACGTTGTTTAGAGTTTAATAACTCAGAACTAATGCCGTTCTTCTTTTTATCTTTCTTAGCATACATTTCTTTAAGTATATCAAGAGCTATTCTTTGAATATTCTCGATATCGGCATCCTGGTTACCCACTTTTATATTCTTTAATGCGCTTAAACATAATTTTTGTACAATATTTTCATTAAATGTATTTATATCGGAACTGTTAATATCGCTGAAACTTAAATCTAAATCCATATCAATAGAATCTGATGATGTTTTTTTATTAGAGCCATCTGTGTCTTGGCTTATTTCGGAACTATGATCTGTTTTTATTGTTTTAGCAAATTCTTCATTAACAATATTACAAGCCTCTAAATTTAAATTAGTTAATTCATTACGTAGTTCATCCGATGAACAGATTCCTCTTCGTTTTTGCAAATTAAGAGTAAAGAATATAGAGGTAATTTCATCAATTGAATTTTCTATATTCTCTACAGAGGGTACTTTTAAAGTCAGTTCTGATGGTGGTACAACCATCTTCTTTTTGTTAATTTTTGAGGTAATTTGCTCGATTTTTGAATTGTCACGTTTTGTGACGGTAGACTGTGGAGTGTTTTCTATCGAGTATATTTCAATACTAGAAGCATCAGTACTGATGTTGCCGACTGGTGCTGACGTGAATGTCGGAGATCCCGATCTAGCGATCCAATGATCAAGCAAGAATTTCTTATCTGCATGCTCACTCTCGATTTGGGATACTTGTTCTGTTATTGGCGGATCTTTCCTATAAACAACGCACAAATATAAACTTACTAGACATTAGTAGCATATTACAAGCTTTAAAGTAAACAGATAACACAGTGATTGAATAATTGGCCTCTACGAGCAAACGGCTCCCTGAATTCGAAATAGCGAAGCAACCATTGCCAATAGAATGCGCAATAAAGATAATTTGCCTATCCTTAAGTGACGGAGGAAAGGACGAACATAAAGAGAATACTACCTCTATGTGTAGTTTTCACCGTTAAATCCACTTCTTGCCATCCTTATAGGAATTAAGGAACTTAAGTGGACTCGGAACTTGTTTACAACAGTTATAGTATTATGAAAAATATAATTACCTTGGAGTGTCAGTGGTTTTATCTTTATTCATACTCTTAAAGGACCTGACATGACACAATGAATTGGGTTTACTAATATTATTGCCAGTCTGTGAGACTTTGTTGTTCAGTTCAATATCTGGCTCCGCATATTTCCAAGGGATTGGACCTTTAGAATGAAAGTATCTGTAATACAAGACCATTGCAAACATTCCTGTAAAGAAAAAACAATACATAAGTCTAAATCTAACAAATTAATGAATACCAAGGAATTACAGAACAATGACAAGAAATAGCAAGTCTTAAAGCAGCATTTTTTAAGTAAAGATATCTGTTAGTTTTGTGTTTTTTAATAATACTTACCAAAGATAGTACCTGCAATTATACAAATAGTAGCAGCAATCGACCAAGGTTTTTTTTGTTTTTCAGTATCTGTTATTAGAACATACAGAAACAAACTGCCAAAGTTTTGTGTTACCATAAATGTATAAAACATCATTAATCTGTACCGAGTCTGACCTTCGCGTAAATTTATAAATGAGAAACAGTAAACGAATCCCATGACTGCATTGTATAATGTTTCTTCAAGTTTATTCGGACAAAAAGTAGTTTTCTGTATAACAATCCAAAAAGTCATCGCAGCCCAATGTAGAACTGAAAATATCATGTCATGTGATACCCTATAATTATTTTTAAATGATATTTACGAGCATAAATCTTAAAACAATCAACTTCCAAAGAAACTCACCTAATGGTAACAATGTCCATATGCCAAAGACAATCGAAAACAATAAAATGCCAGCAATTCTTCCGATCAACATACCAAAATGCCATATTAGTTTTAATAATAATGATTTCCATTGAAATGTTTCATTTGACAATAAAATAATGCTGTAGATATATGTACTACTGCCCCACACTACTGAAGCTATTGATGCTGTTAGTGCAAACACTGAAATAAGATACAAGGGTATCCCTTGGTCAAAAAATACAAAAAAGTTTCTGCGCTTATTCAAAATTAAGTAATTAAGTCTAGTAGATAAAAAAAATTGGATGTACATAGAAATAAAAACATTGTTTTGTCAAAATAGTAACTAGTAGTTGCTTGTAATTCAACCATAAATATTATTAAAAGTTTTTTTTAATAAATTCGCCTACTTCAAGCATTTTTTCAATACAACTTTAACTGTATTAAATTGCTCAAATTTCTTAAAAAGACATACAAAGATTTTATATCATGTTTATATAATACTAACTAACAAGATTAAATAATTTGGCTCACCTTTAGTATGATAGTTTTCATTTAACATCAAGATAGCATATGTTTGCAAAATAATCTGTGGTATTGTACCAGTAAAAATATATAAATAATGCAAAAGGCTTAAATCATTCCTTTGACATATTAACTTTTGTGTTTTTACAGATTCCAAGTTCTTGCAAGTAAATACTTTTCTTAAGAATATTATATACCTAAAAAATATATATAGAAAATATCACATTATGCAAAATAAACTTAGTACAATGTTATTTAAAACATTTTTTTATATGGCATTGTTTTGTAAAGATTTAATTTTCTTGCTTCTTTTTCTTTTATTTACCTTTCTAATAATCCTACAAGACATCCATGTGTAATCCAATGTTTGATAGTTGATTTGTTGTCTATAATAAACCATCTGATTGAAAAAATGTTTATTAGAATATTAGGAGACAACATAAAAATAAATGTTGCAAGGGCCCAATGTAAATACCCATCTTTGCAGTATTCCGCGAAAACTAGGATATCTGGAATATTAAAAATATTAAAAAAATTTCATTTTTTTGACACTGTTTTAACCTAGCTATAAAAATACGCCTAAAATTAGCCATTACAGTGTAAAATCCTTCAAATGTAGGTTTACCATGTAGTTGCTTTAACTATTAACTACTACTGAAAACATAATCTCCCGTCTCAGCCCCCTCAACATGTTTGTTCCATCTATGCAAATAATTACGTTTACACCTTTCTTTCATACAATAAGTATATATTGCAGCCTCATAGAGTTTATTAACAATATTATCATACACATCATGATTAATATTTTATTCATCAATATTTTTTTTTGTTAATCAGAAAATTTTATATAAAGTCATCAGTGACTTAAACTGTAGTATTTCTAGGTTTTTACAATGACGGTCATTTATTTTATAGTATATTTTTCAAATTACAAATTAACGAAATGAAACATATATTGTGATTGATGAGATAAACAAAACAATTAAATACACCTATAACTATTGGTGAGTAATAACTGTAACGTACCTGTTGTTAAATCAGCTAGTATTGTAACAAGTGATATAAATACACTTAATACATTAAAAACACAAAAATATTCATCGTCGTTAGTTGCAGTCTTTCTGTCTATTTGACTTCCGAGCCTGCAAGTCTCGGCCATTCTACAAAATAATGCACATTATTGAGACAAAGCACTCCCTAAACGGCCATTCTATTTACTCTTACTGAACAGAAATAACTATATCATGTATATGCTAACTGTTTCAGTTTTAACCTATGAATATAACTTATTGTTATATATTCAAGTTTAAGTTAAGTCAACGGCGGCGCAGACGCAGTCTTATTTCAAGTTTTCAATTGGTTTTCGTGCAACATATTTAGTGTTGCCAATGAACATTTTACCCGGCGTGTGCAGTGTGCTAAACAACCGTGTATGTATGTATGTGTTTGTATGGGAAAAGATCATCGTTGGGCCAAAACACCAGTAAAAAAAAATATACAGACGAATTGAGTACCTCCTTCTTTTGGGAAGTCGGTCAAAAATGAAAACTCTTCAACACTAGCTATATTGATGTTATTATTATCAACGAACTGTGTTAAAATTATCTATTCTTTGTTTTATAGAATTGCATAATATTTGGATTTCTTTATTCCTGATTCCTGGTACAAATCATTGTTAATTAACCACTTTTTTCATTCAAAAGCTATTTAAAAATGAATTTATTAAAGAATAACAGACAGCACAAGATCCTTGTGGAACTTGACAGTTGACACCAATTGACACCAGTTGACATCTGAAAATGACATTAAAAAATAATAACAATAGATAGAAGTTTAAAATTTGAAACGGATTTATCTAGTTTTAGTCAAAATGATACACGATGCTTTATTAGTTTTGTGGGATTGTTCACAGGGTGGTGAAATTTCATCGGTGCGTTTCAGCTTCAAAACTTTCAAACTTTAATTCCTTTTATTTAGACGGATTTTCCGTTACAGACAGAGCCGGTTTTATACGCTAATGAAGGAGATGCAGAAATTTATAGCAGAATATGTTCGATTGCCAAAAGTCATCATAGAATTCAAAATTTTATTGCAGCTACATCTTTTCATTCAAGAAAATTGCAAACGGGTAACTAAGTTTAAAGTTCTTTTAGTTTTTCCTATAAATTATAAAAATATGATGTGAAAAAAGTGTAATGGTAAAAGAGGTATCGTGTGATAAAAGAATTTGAGTTTTGGTAGATAAGAACATGGAGTATATTTTAGTTATTATGTCTTACAATTTACAGCATCAAATATTAGAAACTTTGGCTTATATGGTCAAGCATTAAGTGAAGGTATTACTGAAGTATTACAATCATATAAAAAAGCTATAGTGAATGTTGAGAAATTGGTTATTGGGAATAAAGACTATACTTTAACATTTGTATACAGCTATGTAGAGAAATTCCAAGGATTGTTCAATACAATAAATAAGATAATTAGCACAATAAAAGAGAGAAGGCTAAATGGCTGTCAAATTTTAAGTTTAACTCATCAGAATATATTGAATGGAAATGAAATGGTTCATAGCTCTATGTTGAGGTAAGTTATTCTCTTGACATCTATTGACATTGCAGATGTTCTGCCAATCTGTTCTCTTCCGTGCAGAAAACATTTACAAATAAAAGATATTGATATATTTTACAGGATATTCTCTTGTATTAACAATGTATTTATAAATCAACTCTGCGCCTGGCTTCTTTATGGTGAACTAAAGGATCCATATGAAGAATTTTTTATTTACCGAAATAAGAAAGATGACCTATCAGAAACAGTGCTTTCATCACCTTCCATTTCAAATACTTGCGATAAAACCCTTGTGACCACAGTAAGTATATATTTTAAGGTTTTTTGACTGACTTCAAAAAGGAAGAGGTTTTTAACCTTTACTTTTTAAATGTATATACATACATTAATTATGCTGCAATTTATGACCCAATTTACATGATCCTTTTTTTGTTTGATGAGCAATATTTGTCATTCGTCCCACTTTAAGCATACATAATGTTGATTTTGCCTCCTTATATTATGTAAAAAAAAAATTGTCTTGAAGACAGTATTCGTTATTTGTTAATTTTATTTGTAAAGTGCTATGATGAATTAATATTTGACAAATTACTTGTTTTTAGTTGCAACAAACTTCACTGGATTGTGGTTACAACATAAATGCTAGCATGATACCATACTTTATGCCGTTATCTCTGGCCCAGGAAATATTATTTATTGGCAAAACTGTTATTCTCTTTGGTTTTGATCCCCGGAAGGTAAAGAGAAGCAATATAACATTAAATAGCACTTTGATGCCATTACATAAACTTGATTATGATTCAAGAAGGTGTGTATTTTTCAATATTAAATTTTCTGTTAATATAAAGCCTGCTACAATTCTCAGTTGTTACTGACAGATTTACCAAAGAGATAAACTGTTCAGTTAAAACTGTATAGCAGATTTAATAGTTTAAAAACTCTTTGTTCAAAGGTTTACTATATGGGAAGAGAAAGAATCGGAATTTCATAATAAGTTGCAGCAACTCAAAGAACCTGAGGTTTTCGAAGTATATAATTTAAGATGTGTTGTTAGAGAAATAAAAGAATGTGTTACAAAGGTAAGTAACAAATCACTTATTGTCAACTAATGTTACTAATAAATGCGAAAGTTTAGATGAATGGATGTCTGTATGTTTATCTCTAGGAAGACTAAATGGATTTTGGTAAAGCATAGACAAGGCTATTAATTAAAAAAAAACGTTTAATCCTTATCAACACTACAATTATAAATCAAAAAAGTAATTAAACACGAAATGAACTAATGAAATGGCAAAAAAAAGAAATAATTGAAACCAGCGTTGCAATGCTGACTGAATTGGGTCCTCGCTCACCTATAAATCCTAATTCAAGTATCAGCGCTGATCTTCCGCGAGAACTCTTGGGATCATCCACACGTCAGTAGTAGCGGTGGATAGTCAGAGATAATCACATACATACAAAAATAAAATAAAAGAACAGAATTCGTACATTATATGTAGTTCATAATGAGTAGTTCTTTATTCTAATTTAGCACCGACAGATTTGCGGATAAGAGCTAGTTTGATATGGTACAAAAAAGAGAATTCTTGTTAGCTATGTGTTGAACAAATGCAGAGTATACACTAGAATTGGCACATCGGGTAAAAGACTTGCTTTGTTTCAATGTGCCAACTTAATTGCTGACTATAATTTAATTATTAGCACTTATGGACCGTGGCAGTAGAAGAGGCACATTTATTGCACGAGCTACGACTTATGAAAGACTTCTACCTGTTGGGACGTGGGGAACTATTTCTTGAACTCCTAAGACTCACCGCACACATGTTAGATAAGCCAACTACACGAACTTCTACACGGGGTAAGGCTAAAATTTTCGAAATTCATTACTTCAGTGTGGCAGTATTTCATGCCAAAAGTTGTATAATTTTGATTTTTTTTTTATAATAGGCAAATTTAAATTTTTGTTTTGTTGACTATTTGTTTTAATTTATAGATATGAACCATGCATTCCAGTTGGCTGCTAGAGCAGTGTTTCTAAGCAACAGCGCTGATATAGAAAAGTTCAGTTTCGAACTACCCTACGTCAAACCGATAGCCGATGCGACTGTAAATTCTTCTCTCGACGAAGACAGTAGTGTTGGTAAGGTTCATATTACATTTATAATAATACACAAGTTAAATAATCATATTACACACCTTAAATGATAAATGTTATTTACTAGTTTATTTTTAGAATGTAGCGCATTAGTCTAATTTTAAAGGGTATGGTTAAGGTTTTCAATGACGTGTTCGAGGGTTCGAATCTGACCATTCGACTATTGTCGTAAACCAAATATTAGTAATAGCGTAGAGCTTGAGAGAGATGTACGAATGTGGATAGTCTGGAAGAACACAAAGGCTAGACTTGACACTACTTTTGTTTTTTTTTTTTCAATTTACGCATACGGAGTCGCAAAAGCTAGTATTTTTATATATTAAAAAAATGCAACTAACATTGTCTTCA